GGCCCCGCGGGCGCCGAGACTCCGGGCCCGGACGCCGGGGACTCCCGGGAAGGGCCTGGAGCCCCCGGGGCGGGCAGCATGGCTCTGGAGGAGTGGCCGCCGACCTCGGGGGAGGGACCAGGGACTCCTGGGCGGGAAGCTGGAACCCAGCCGAGAGAGAGCTCCTGCCGGGCCACAGGCCTATGGGCCTGCCGCGTGTGGAACTGGGCCGGTGACACCCACACTCCCGAGGGGGGGCTGTGACCCCAGGTGATGGGTGTGGCCCCCTCACAGGGGAGACAGGACAAAGAAGAGACTCTATGGTAGGGAGTGGCCCTGAAGAGCAGAGAGGAGGAGGATTTCAGTTTTTAAGCACAAGCGCTACCTGGTTGAGAGGGCTTGATCCTGGGACCAACACGGAAACTGGGTTGATGTCGCCCTTCTCCTCCCCTCCCCCTTCTCAATGCATGGCTCTCCCCTTCTGACCAACAGCAGTATATACATAATAAGAAAAAATAGGAAAATATATATTCTATTTATATATCATTAAGAAATATATTATGAAAAGCTCAAATATAGAACCCACAACCTTCAAAGAGGCAAGAGAAATGATTGTATTGCTGGTTGTTTACATTGAAATAGTTCTCTGATATGTGAATCCAGTGCTTTTTTTTCTTTTCTTTTTTCCTTGGTAGCTGGCTGGTAAGGGGATCCGAAGCTGTGACCTTGAGTGTTATAAGGCTGCGTTCCAACCAACTGAGCTAACTGGCCAGGCTGTGCTTAAAAAGGTTTCTTTTCTTCTTATAAAAGTAATACATACTAATAATGGGAAAATATATGAAAATAGGAAGAATTTAATCACTCATAATTGTATCACTTCAAATACACTTATTTTTTCCTCCAATTTTATTTTCTGTGTGTACCATTAAAAAAAATCTTTTTTATACTAGTTTTATTGAAATTTAATTCATATAACCATACAATTCACCCACTTAAAGTTTACAGTTCAATGTGGGCCAGTGGCTCACTTGGGAGAGCATGGGGCTGATAATACCAACGTCAAGGCTTCAGATCCCCATACCAGCCACCAAAAAAAAAAAAAAACCCAGCAAAGAATGCAGTTCAGGGGCCGGCCCGTGGCTCACTCGATAGAGTGCGGTGCTGATAACACCAAGGCCACGGGTTCGGATCCTATATAGGGATGGCCGGTTTGCTCAACGGCTGAGCGTGGTGCTGACAACACCAAGCCAAGGGTTGAGATCCCCTTACCAGTCATCTTTTTAGAAAAAAAAAAAAAGTATGCAGTTCAATGATTTTTAGTATATTCATTGAGTTGTGCATCCATCACCACAACTTTAAAACATTTTCATTGGGGCCGGCCCGTGGCTCTCTCGGGAGAGTGTGGTGCTGATAACACCAAGGCCATGGGTTCGGATCTCTATTGGCCGGTTCACTCACTTTGGAGAATGTGGTGCTGATAACACCAAGTCAAGGGTTAAGATCCCCTTACCGGTCATCTTTAAAAAAAAAAAAAAATCTGGCTTCTTTTATTTAGCATAATATTTCCAAGGTTCATCCATGTTGTAGCAAGTATCAGTACTATATTTCTTTTTATTGCCAAATAATGTTCCATTGTATGGATATACCATATTTTGTTTCTCCATTTATCAGGTGATGGGCACTTGGGTTGTTTCAAATTTTTGGCTCTTTTGAATAATGCTTCTGTGAACATTCATATACAAGTTTCTGTGTGGACATATATTTTCATTTCTCCTGTGTGTACACCTAGGAGTGGAATTGTTGGTCATATGGTAATGCTATGTTTAACTTTTTGAGGAAATGTCATATTGTTTTCCAAAGTGGTGACAACATTTTCCATTCCCACCACCACACGCTCGCCAACATATCTTGTGTCTCTTTTTGATTATAGCCATTTTAATGGGTATGAAGTGGTATATCACTGTGGAATAAACTTTAAATCTGGAATAATTTAGATGCATAGAAAAGTTGCAAAGATAGTACAGAGAGTTCATTATGCCCTCTCCCCTCCAATGTTAACATCTTTTTTTAGTAACAGCTTTGAGATGTAATTCATATTCCATGCAATTCACCATTTTAACTGTACAATTCAGTGGTTATTAGTATATTTACACGGTAGTGCAAACGTCACCACTATCTAATTTATAATATCTTCATCACCCCAAAAAGAAACTCTATACCCATTAGCAATCACTCCCCATCCCCCCCATCCCCTGGCAACCACTAATCGACTTTCTGTCTCTGTGGATTTGTCTATTCTAGACATTTTATATACATGGATATATTCAATATGTAGTCCATGTATACACATTGTACACATATTGATAAAGGTCATTGAAATCATACTGATAAAATTTTGTATCATAATTTTTTTTCACTGAATGGTGCTATAAATACTTTCCATACTGTTATTATTTTCTCGTGTGGCTGGCTGGTGTGGGGATCTGAACCCTTGACCTTGGTATTACAACACTGGGGCACTAGCCAACTGTGCCAATCACCAAGTCTTCATTTCCTATCTTATTATATTGTCTTTATAACTATTATTTATAACAAACCTAATTACTATACCAAAATGTGATCATTCTCCTATTATTAGACATTTAGTATATTTCAAGTTTTGTTATAAAATATTTCTGGTATGAACATTTTTCCTATATTTATGTATTTTCTATATTTAGAATTACTATATTAGGATAGTTTCCTAAAAGTGGAGTTAACACATCAAAGGATCATTTACAATTTTTGCCTTTGGTTTTTTTGGTGCTGGTGGGTACGGGGACCTGAACCCATGACCTTGGTGTTAGCAGCAACATGCTCTACAATTTTTGCATTATATAAAGTATATAACCTGAAAAGTTCTATCTCTACCCCTATACCCACTCCTCAAAGATACAGATTTTTTTACACATATATTCTTCCAGTGTTTTGTTATAAGCATTTTCATAATAGATAAGTAAGAAACTGGAAAATTGGGCTAACTGGTTAGCTCAGTTGCTTAGAGTGTGAGGTTATAACACCAAGATCAAGTGTTTGGATCACTGTTCTCAGCCAGCTGCCAAGAAAAAAACAAAAAAAGAAATGGAAAAATTGAATAAATTGAACAGTGAAAACCTATATAACCACCATCTAAATTCTATTAACATTTTATTGTTTGTTTTATCACATACTCATGTCTCAAACCATCTTTTTTTTTTTTTTTTAGCAGCTATCTGGACAGGGATCCGAACTCAAGACCTAGGTGTTATAACACCAGGCTCTAACAAACAATCTTATGTTTTATTTTTTTAAAAGATGACCAGTAAGGGAATCTTAACCTGTGACTTGGTGTTGTTAGCACCACGCTCTCCCAAGTGAGCTAACCAACCATCCCTACATAAGGATCCGAACCTGTGGCCTTGGTGTTATCAGCACTACACTCTCCCAAGTCAGCCACAGGCCGGCCCTAAAGCATCTTATTTTTAACGCACTTAAAATATACATATTTTATAAAAATTTGCTCATCCTATGTTTACTGTTCCGTAATATACTTTTTTCACTCAATGATATTTATGATTATGCCATATCATCGCAGACAGATGTAGAATTACTTTATCCTTTTTTAAAAGCTACGTAGTATTCCAATATATGGATTTCAATTCAATTTAAAAATATCTATTGAGTGGTCTTTATCTTCCAGCACTTGGGATACATCAATAAACAGAATAGATTCCTGCCCTCTCTTGCCTTGCCTCTATGAACTTCATTTCAGGGTAACCAAATATCTCCTTTGTGAAGTCTCTTTACAGGAGACTTCCTATTAATACATGTGGAAGGAATGATAGAATTAGAAACTCAGCATTTGGGCCGGCCCGGTGGCGCACTGCTACAGTGCGCCGCTTGAGAGCGCGGCGGCGCTCCTGCCAAGGGTTTGGATCCCACATACAGACCGGTTCCCGCTCACTGGTTGAGCGAGGTGCGGGCGCGGCACCGAGGGTTGCGATCCCGTTGCCGGTCCTGGTCCAGTACGGGCGCGACACTGAGGGGTGCGATCCATTGCCGGACACGAAAAAAGACAAAAAGGAAAAAAAAAAAAAAAAAAAGAAACTCAGCATTTTGCAATCCCTAGTAAAATAATTGATCCAGTCAATACTCATCAGTGTATTAAAGCCTTAGATAAAACGCTGACAGGAAACTTGACCTTAGAGGTATAAGGCTGAGGTCACCTCACCCACCGATAAATCTCTGCCTTACTAAAAGCAGGACAGACAACCAGACATCAAAGGCCTCCCAATGTGATGCAATGTGGTACTCACAGCACCACCTTCAAAAAAGTTGAACTTTAGTGTAACCAGGCCTCAGGAGCTAACTTTCATTTACAGGAAATAGAGAGGAGAGCGGGATAAGTTAAATGTCATCATGAAGGAGCAAGAGACAAATCCAGAATGTGGGACATTCTACAGGAGCAACTGACCCAATTTCTTCAACAAGTCAAAAGTATGAAAGGGCCGGCCCGGTGGCGCACTGGATAGTGCGCCGCTTGGG